TTCTAAATAATTACCTCATTTTCTTTCAATAATTCTCCATTGCAAAAATTCTACAGTATTCTTACATTTTTTTATATTTTAAAATTTTCCCATGTTATTAGAAAGTAGATATACAACGAAAGTTATACAATTTATAGTTCCTAGCATGTATAACATGTATATGTATATAACGCATGGTCGCTTCGTATGGAAAGTCAATGAATCTTCAAAAAGCGCCCAGGTCCGATTTCGAGAAATGTAAGGTCTGTCGGTCACGATGGCTTTTGTCGTTTACTGACGATTCGAACGGTTGGCGATGCCAGGCTTGCTTTCGAGAAATGTAAACGACGTCAGCGATGCAAGAGCGAGAAGGAAAGCGAGTATCAGCCTGTTCTTCTCGGCTCTTCCGAAACTCAACGAGCTCACGTACACGCAATTGAGCATAGTGTGCGAAAGCGAGGAATGAGGAGTTTCCGGGGCCCCGATGCACAGACTGATTAAACTGATTTCGAGTCGCAGATACGTTTCTGTCGAGTTATTTTTTTAATAAATGATGTATTACAATTTAAAATAAAAAATAGAGAATTTGCGGTGTACGTATCAATGAAATACATCCTTATGAATTTTAATAATCTTGAAATTTTTAAATACTCTTAATCGATTGATTTCTCCAATGAAATTAATCGATTAATGTCCAATGATGGACCCTACAGCTTTAATTCCGTTAAAAAATAATAAAATTTATGTAATTTTATTTTCTGTCTCACTTCCTCTTGTGTTAATTTCTGAATCTGTTGATAACGTTGCGAGTGACACGAAAATGGTAATGGGGTCCCGGGACCCCAGAAACTCCGGCCGAAAAATTACATTACGTGAAACGTCTATTCATATATCTCGTCTGTGGTGATACTTATGGTAATACTTATGGTATGATGGTAATAAAGAGTTCTAAAGTGATACTTATGGTAATACTTATGTTCTTAATACTGTTTCGTAAAAATATTAATATAGAAGAACCGAGGGACGAGGATGTGACAGGAGCACGTCTTGGATCGATGTGTTGGGGATGAGGCAGAGGAAAAGGGGGTTGGGGAAAAGATAAGGGAAATTTTGGACGAAGAAGGTAAAGGGGAGGGATGGATGAAGAGGCTGGAGGAAAAGAGGAGAGAGAGAGAGGAGGAAAGGGGGGAGAGAGTTTAGGAAGGAGGGAGGTAGAATAGGAGTAAGGAGTGAAAGAAGGAATGGAGTGAAAGGAGGGAAAGGGAAGTCGAAGGCGAAGGAGGCGGGCGTGGAAAGGCGGAGGCGTAGTTTTAAGGTAATGTTAAGGTAGTTTTAAGGGTAGAAAATAGAAAGCGAAACGTGGCAAAGAGAGGCGAAGCGAGCGTATGCGTGGCGAGGCGAGGCGAGGCGAGAATAGCGAGCGGGCAAGGCATGTAGGTTAAGGCTAGGTTAAGAGTAGGTTAAGCGGAGGGAAGGAGAGGGGAGGATGGGGTGAAGATAGAGAATAAGATAGTGTAAGGAGGAATTGTAAGGGAAAGGAGAGGAGATATGTAACCCTAAGGGGAACATTAAATACATACTACTACTACTAACTCTACATCGCTTACCATTTCCTTATTTTTCAAGTCTAAAAATTTACTTTTACTTACATGATCTAGTCGTTCATGCCATAGTTTATAGTTATTATCTGTTGCACTATATACTTGCTTAGTTATTTCTATTTTATTATTTTTAATTACTAGGTCTACAGCTATTAGATTATTCAAAGACTTACCCCTCATTATAATTTCCTTACCATTTAGGATTTGTACTCCCTCCTTATTAAAGATTATTGTTGCTCCCGCGTTTTGCATCTTTTCCACAGACAGCAAATTGTAGGGAACGTCTGGGGAATAGAGTACATCCTTCAGATGACCGCTGATTCCCGTGTCGCTGACAACATTCAGCGTGCCTCTCTTCGTTGCTAAAATATACGTTCCGTTTTTGGCAACGGAGATCCTTATCGGTGTTTTCAGATTTTCAAATTCCACCGCCAAATCTCTTCGATTGATGAGATGATCCGAAGCTCCGGAGTCCAGTAGAAAACGTATTGTCTTCTTATCTTGATCATTGATTTCATGACCTCCTGCCATGAAAGCGAAGCCAGACATATCTGCCCATAATTATGAAAGTGGTCTAAGTCATATATTTCTTGTTTCGAGATATGTAATAAATTGCATTTGAATAAATTAAAAAATATTTTTACATTATGCATCATTTTAATTTAGAATTTTATTAGTCTTGATTGATGGAAACTTATTATGAATATGAAATTTTGTGTGAATTTCATACGAAAATGTTGTTTTTAAAGTTTGAATTGACTTAGACCATTTTCAAAATTAACTGAATGTCCTATAAATGACTTAATACATTGAGAGCCGGCGGTATCCGAACATTTAAAGCTTGAGTGTCGGCATCGTATTAGCCGCTTAAAGCCTGAATGCCGGCCTTTTTTCGGTTGTTTACGATCAATGAGTAGCTAAAGAAAATATTTAAAACTTTATACATTTTTGTAAAATAATATATTTTGTTTGCATATTCGTCATATACAATTTAATGGAAACGAAAAATAGAAACAAAATCGACATTTTAATTTATAATTATAGAAAAAAATTTTTTATTTCATAGTGGATTATTACATATATAATATAAACAGAAAAAAAATATTGTAGGAGATTGAATGTATGATTACGATATATGTGTGTATACTCTAATTTATTATTATATTGAATACTACACAGGGTGTTCGGCCACCTCTAGCAAAAATTTTAATGAGCGATAGTAGAGGCCAAAATAAGACGAAAATCAAGTATACTAATTTGTTGATGGAGGCTTCGTTACAAAGTTATTAACATTTAAAGTTCCGCCTGAATCATGGCAACCATCGAGCATATGCGTAAACGTGGGAGGTCAGGAGACGATGTATTACAGGAACCGAGCTTACCGACTTATCGATCGCCTTTCGTGTCTGCGTCAACTCTCAGGACGGCGAACGTGGTACGTTGAATGAAATCCGACAGCCCCTCGTTTTTGCGTCAACTCCCAGGAAGGTGAACGCATATCGTCGAATAGGATTCAACCTGTCTTATGAACATCCAGAGGGGCATATCAATACTCGCCCGACAAGATGTTCACAGAGAGAGGGTGAATGCCTCTTTTAACACACACATTTTTTTCTGTATAAAAATCACCCACACGCGAGCATACACGCATCGCGATTGTCCCGTCCGCGAATGTCCACGTGTATGTGCACCGCGATTGTCCTGACCGCGAGTGTCCACAAATAAATACTGTTGCACACGAACCATCATACTTTTTTTCCAAAAAAAAACCACACGCGAGCATACACGCACCGCGATTGTCCCGTCCGCGAATGTCCACGTGTATGTGCACCACGATTGTCCCGACCGCGAGTGTCCACAAGTAAATATTTTTCGACGAGCACCACTATTCAATTAAATAATACACGCGCACCGCGATTGTCCCGTCCGCGAGTGTCCACGTGTCCACGTTTTCTCGTTCCGCGCCGCGCACTACACAACACAAACCGCGTACCACACACTACACTGCACTACACAACACTACACAACACAACTTAATATAAACCGCGGATTTCGATTCCACGCACTATCGCGCAATAAAAAAGTAAAACTGGAAAAAAATTTATAATTAGTAAATCTGATTAATGACTGAATATTAATTCAGATTGTAGAGTTCGAGAGCCATTGAATGTCCGTATTCGTTGGCGACTGCCTTCGAAATGAGTATACAATTTCTTACCCTAATAGCAAAGGTAAAGAAAAAGAGACAGGACAGAAAGACGGAAAAACGAAACTGGAAAATACTCAGTGTATAGAAAAGTTTAGCGAAAAAGAGTCATAAAAGTCAAGAGGCTCACCGGGCCCGGATCAGGGTGATCCGAGGCCCAGGCGAAACCTTGAAGGAAAACAGACGCCTCGCACGGCTCTGGTCGCCAAATGTTTAACAGGACGACCAGGCTCGCACGAGACCCTGGGAAAATGGAAAAATAGAAAGCTTAAAACTATCCTTACATTCCATTCCCATTCATACTCTGGCAAGGGTGTAGTGGCTATACAATGGCCGCTACAGTCCGTATTCGTTGGCGACTGCCTTCGAAATGAGAAAAGACAAACGATGACGAGTGGCGAGAAAAGCAGACACATTATTAAAGTGCCGAACGCGCGGCCTACGAAGCATACATTGTAAAGCCCCGACTTTGGGCGAGTATTGATATGCCCCTCTGGATGTTCATAAGACAGGTTGAATCCTATTCGACGATATGCGTTCACCTTCCTGGGAGTTGACGCAAAAACGAGGGGCTGTCGGATTTCATTCAACGTACCACGTTCGCCGTCCTGAGAGTTGACGCAGACACGAAAGGCGATCGATAAGTCGGTAAGCTCGGTTCCTGTAATACATCGTCTCCTGACCTCCCACGCTTACGCATATGCTCGATGGTTGCCATGATTCAGGCGGAACTTTAAATGTTAATAACTTTGTAACGAAGCCTCCATCAACAAATTAGTATACTTGATTTTCGTCTTATTTTGGCCTCTACTATCGCTCATTAAAATTTTTGCTAGAGGTGGCCGAACACCCTGTATACTAGCGTTCTTGATTTCACGTGTACCTAATACAGGGTGTTACTCTACCTATAGTCAATATTTTGGGGGGTGATTCTACAGGCGAATATAAGTCGAAAATCAAGAGTGATGAAATTGCGGTAAATGCTTTGTTTATTAATTATCGATGGTTAAAGATTGGCGTCTGGAGCGCCTGAATGACGGCAACTTGACGGACAGCGAGCCGCGCGAGTCAGACCAACCAAGGTGCAAATCATCCACACGGGCACACACGCACCGCAATTGTCCCGTCCGCGAGTGTTCACTTAATTACACACACACACGCATCGCGAGTAGTTTATTCGCGAGTGTCCATGTGTTCACGCACAAAATATTGTCTTACAGGAGATGTTCAACGTGACCACCATTTTCCTGAAGGCACAGTTGCATTCGTCTGCGAAAGTTTTCGCGTACTTGTCGGAAGTCACCCATCATATTCTGCACTATCCCCGATGTAAACTGGATTCGTTGTTCTAATTCGTCCCTCGTGGCCACGGGCGTTGAATAGACCAAATTCTTCATGTGTCCCCAGTAGAAGAAGTCAAGGGGATTAAAATCTGGAGACCGAGCAGGCCAAGCGTTCGGTCCTCCTCGTCCAATCCATCTATTGCCGAAGTATTCATTTAAATATTGGCGTACTGATATGGCGTAATGTGCTGGTGCACCGTCTTGCATGTACCACATGTCTCTTCGCACAATCAGCGGTACGTCTTCTAATAGAGTAGGCAATTGTGTCCTCAGGAATTCCAAATACTCTTGGCCTCCTAACCGAAAAGGGAGAACAAGAGGTCCAATAATCTTGTCGCCAAGAATTCCTGCCCAAATATTTGTAGAAAATTGGCGCTGGGTATTTATTTCTAACAGCGCATGCGGGTTTTCTTCTGCCCAGATGTGACAATTGTGTGCATTAACGCTGCCACTTTGATTGAAGTTTGCTTCATCGGTAAATAATATCCTGGATAGGAAGCCTTCATCGGCTGTAATCATATCCATCATCCACGTGCAAAAGTGGAAGCGGTTCTCAAAATCACTCTCTTCTATTTTCTGCACCCTGTTGCAAATGATACGGGTACAGTTGTCTTTCTTTTAGGATTCTCCAGACAGTGGTACTGCTTACACGTTCCTCTGCCGCAATTCTTCGTGTACTGGTCGATGGGTTTTCCTCAATTCGCCGCATCACCCTCTCATCGAGGTCCGGATCTTGTCGATTACGTCCCCCGGATCTGTTACCCGCAACCGAACCTGTATCACGTAATCTTTGATACAGTCTGATAAATATCCTTCTATCGGGCACATTTCTCCGTGGATATTTTTGGCAATAAATGCGAAGTGCTTCAGGAGTACTACCCTTCGCTTCACCGTAGCACATGAGCATGTCTGAGAGCTCAATGAACGAATATTGTCCTTCCATCGTAGAAAATTCGTACGCACGCACCCACTTCACACACTACACACAGAGCCTAAAAAAGCTTAAAAAAGACAAGAAAGGAAAAGAAAAGAAAAGAAAAGAAAAGACAAGAAAAGACAAGAAAAGACAAGAAAAGACCAGAAAAGACAAGACAAGACAAGACAAGAAAAGAAAAGAAATCTTAAAAGCCTAAGGTAAAGCTAAAGCTAAAACTAAAACTGAAACTGAAACTAAACCTAAAATTAATCTACAACTCTGACTAAATTAAAAAACGCAGACTGCTTTCGACAATAAAAATACTTCTCGCCGATTGTAGTCTGTGCTCGCGTTGACGACAGTCGTCAAACTGACGAAACCTTGGTCAAATCGCTGCGTGAAGGAAACGAAAAATGTTACAAATGAACAACCACATACAATGTGTCGCTACACCTTCGTCTAGTCGCTCAGGCGATGATAGACAGCTTATGCGATAAATTAAATTCTTTATTCTTCATCGAGTCGATAGGTATGCCAGTGACACCAATGGATTCCCTGTTTTCCCTATTTTTGCAGAATAATTTTTGCAGAAATGCAGAATAATTTCAGATTCGTCGCTTTCTAGTGCGCAACATTGTAGGCCTCCCTGGTCTCGAGCGTCGCGATCGGAGGTCATGGAACTCGGCGTGGCCCACGCGTTGGCTAGGTAGCAACATGTGCATTGAAGATACGTCGAAGAACGAATGCAGATAATTAAAAATACTATCACTGTAACTGTTACCTAATTCGTTAATTACTACGTAATTAGTACGTAAATTACTAAATCGAGTTTCTTAATTATTTGTATTCGCTGTTTCCAAGGAAGAAGGAATAAAATGTGGGAAGATGCTCTCGGAATTTTTAGGAAATTAACCCTGCGCACCCGAGTGACGCTTCTCGCCAGTGTGTCTTAAAATTAAAATAAAAATAAATACGGTAAGAACCATTTGTAACCGTTTGGTATTAAAAACTGTACAGGAAAAGCAGACTGGATTTGTGCGTACCGAAACATTCCTCGAATGCAAAGGGTTAATAGAGAAATAATTAAAATTCGAACTGCGGTGACAATAGGGCCGGTCAGTACACCAATATCGATCGGCGGCCGGGCTGTTCCATCAGCTGATTTTCGTTGGGGTCTTCGACGTTGCCGCCGATCGATATTGGTATACTGACCGGCCCTATTTTAAGTTGCCGTCATTCAGGCGCTCCAGACGCCAATCTTTAACCATCGATAATTAATAAACAAAGCATTTACCGCAATTTCATCACTCTTGATTTTCGACTTATATTCGCCTGTAGAATCACCCCCCAAAATATTGACTATAGGTAGAGTAACACCCTGTATATACGCGTAATTAACATATTCGTATCTTAATCCGTGTACTTCTCAATACACGGGTACACGGGTATTGAAGTACACGGATACACGTGTATTGAAGTACACGGATACACGTGTATTGAAATATATGGGTACACGGATCATAAAATCTATACATGTATCCGTTTATTGTAGTTCACAGATACACGTGTCGAAATGTACTGTTCCACATGTATTACCCGTACCCCATGTTTTATTTTACAATTAAATATCAGAATATTTAGATGTGTAAATTGTTTATGAGACTTAATTTACTGGGTGGTAGGTGAAAATAAGAAACATTATGGTTTTGGTTAATAAAGTTCAATTTATTAAATTTTTGTTTTGAGATAAGAAAACTAAGGTGTTAACATTCTCTGGAAGCAAACGGTTTCTTTTTTTTGTTACAATATTTCCAGCGCATGAAAAGCATCGTTCCGACATCGCCGATGTTGCTGGAATTGTTAAATATTTTTTGGCAACTTCGGAAATTGCTGGATATTTGTTTGTCCTAGGCTTCCACCATTCAAATGGATTTAAATCAAAGCGTAATTGTGGCTCGGTCATATATGTTTCAATTTGAATATAAACATCATTGTTATCGGTGATTTCGTTGTATAAAAATCCAAGAGCAGATTTGTCATGTGCCTTTGCTGTATTTACTGTATGTACTGCATTTACTACATCCGAGTTTTGAAGCAATCGTTTTGCTTCTGTACGAATTATTTCTTTTATGTCAGACGTTTCGTGTTCCAGATTTTTATATCTTGGATCAAAAAAACAGGATATATGGTTTAACGAAAGAGTATCACCGTCGATCCATTCAAGTTTGAAACGTCTCGTAAGTACTGAAATTATAGTTTTTTTGAATATACACAAAAGCGTGTCATCATCGTTGTTTAAATTTAAGTGTTTTTCGATCAATTTTTTGATTAATGGTCTCATCATTGAGATAGGAGGCGTGGCTTTCTCCACAAAAAAGTGTTGTTATAATTTGTAGCGGTTTTAAAATATTTAAGAGAGACTCTATTATTGTCCATTGTTTTTCATTTATTTCTAGAGATTGTGCTACCCTTGCATTAGTAATGGCTCTATCTGCAATAACATTTGATATTGCACATCTATTTGTATATAAACTGTCTAACATAAAATACGTGGAGTTCCAACGTGTAGAGCAGCTTTGTATTAATGTATTTTTTGGCAAAAAAAGCTGTACTTGTTTTTCCTGTAATGCATGTTTCGCAACATTTGAATGTTTAAAATGTTCTACCATTTTACTGCATGTATCGATTATTTGTTGTACGGTTTTTTCTTTTAATGCATAATTTACAGCTAATTGCACACTGTGTGCTGCACATGTTACGCTATAAATGTTGGTGTTGTCCGATACTTCCGATAACAATGAGATAGCATTTACCATATTTTTGGCATTGTCTGTTACAATGGCTACTACTTTCGAATTAATTTCCCATTCTTCGAGAGTTCTCTGTTGCTCATCTGCGAGGTTTTGGGCAGTATGGCGTTCTTCCATCTCATATACACTCAAAACAAAACTGTCTGTGTCCCAATTGGAATTAATAATATGTACAGTTATCGCAATGTACGAATCCTGTGCTAACGATGACCAACAATCGGATGTACACACTACATTTTTAACAGCGTTTACTTGTTCCCTTATCTTTGTCACGACCGTACTCTTCAGACCCATTAATCTTTTTTTCATTGCTTCGTCTTTGCATATTTTATAATTTGGCTGCACTACAGACATAAACTCTTGAAAACCATCGGATGAACAGAAAGAAATAGGTAACTGATTTTTGGCAATTAATTTTGCTAATGCCTGGTGTATTTTTCCGTTTTCGCAGGATCGCATAAACGAATGTTTGAAGTCTGACAGTTTAAAATAGACAGTCTTCGACGTTTTTTTGGTGGTTGCGAATTTTCGAGAATTGTATTTTCTTCCACATGTTCTGTATATATAAATTACTTATTTATTGCTACCATTCGTTTCATCTTTTATGATGTTTTAATGTTGGTACTTACCGTTAACATTTGAATAGGTACTTTCTGTTCCAGTATTAGTGGTGTTAATATTATTAGTAGGTTCCAAATTATGAATGAACTTCAAATGCCTACTAATGGGCCCTGTTGTCCCACCCGCACACGAAAATTCATTAACAGTTCCTTCATCACACAGATTACAGACGGCTTTATCGCCATCACGGCTTGCATAATTCCATACCCAACTTCTGCGTTTCGCCATTTGAAAAGCGTATTTCAAATTACCGATAAATATATAATATACTAGCAGCCCCGGCGGACTTCGTCCCACCCAAAAATACAACGAAACTATTGCATTTTTTAAATAAAAAATTTTCTTACCAAAAAATCATCTTTATTCTAGTACTTTGTGATACACAATATTTTTGGTTTTTTGTTCCGGTGCCAACACAAACAAAGCAGATGGCTTACCAACACGTGAACAGGCTACATACAGTTGGCCATGTGAAAAACATTCATTTTCCAAATTTAGACCACAAACATCCAATGATTGGCCTTGAGCCTTGTTGATTGTCATGGCGAACGCAAGACGAACCGGGAATTGAATGCGTTTGAATTCGAAAGGCATGTCTGTCGGTATCAAAGGAATACGCGGAATGAGAACTTGTTCTCCTTTAAACTTGCCTTTGAGAATTGTTGCGTAAATGATATTGTTCATGATTTGCTTTACAATCAAACGCGTTCCGTTACACAATTTAGGAGGTTGCAAATTTCGAAGCATAATCACTACCGAACCAACTTTAAGGTGTAAAATGTGTTGCGGAACACCAGGCAAATCCAAAGAATTCAAAAATTCAGTGGGGTAATTCGTAGCTTCATCTTCATTTACCACACAATCAACAGATTTGAATGAATGCATTGGACCACCAATTTGATTTTGAATTTTAAAATTAATCTCATTCACATCCTTGTTCTTCGCTGCCAAAATTGCGCGTTCACTTAACCAATCGTGATTCAAATAATTAACAACAATATCCGGAAACACTTTACGAATTAGTTCATCTTTCGATGTAACGAAATTACAAAAATTCGACGGAAATGAAATCAAACCGGTTGTGACATCGACGGGAACTTCACCATTACCGATGGCTATCAGTTGTTTGGAGAACACATCAGCTGTAGGATCGTTTTGTAATGAAACTCGCATATTCGTATTCAATTTAAGTTTCTTCACAAAGCGCCACAAAGACGATGACTTCAAGGAAGCGTTAACTGCATCAGCAGCAGTTGATTTTGGAATGACAGGTAACGTTTGACGGAAATCACCAGACAATAGAATCATAGCGCCTCCAAAACGTCTTGAATTATTGCGTAAATCCTTCATGGTCCGATTAACTGCTTCCAATGCACGTTTATGCACCATTGTGCATTCATCCCAAATGATGATTTTACAACATTGCAACACTTTTCCCATAGCGGAATTTCTACTAATGTTGCATGTGGGTTCTTCAACCACTTGGAGATTCAACGGCAATTTCAGCGCTGAATGTGCTGTCCGGCCTCCTTCCAACAACGTAGCAGCTATTCCTGAAGAAGCGACTGCCAAAGCAATTTGAGATCTCGAACGAATAGTAGCCAAAAGCAAAGAAATAAGAAATGTTTTCCCAGTACCACCGGGAGCATCGATAAAAAATATTCCCCCATTTCCGTTATCAATCGCCTTCATCAATGTTTCATACACGATTTTCTGCTCAGGATTTAACAATGGAACATTATCACAAACCATTCGGCTCAATGCGTCTCGATCATATTCACGTTCTCGTTCTATTTCTTGATTAAAAGCATCGTGGATTGAACGATTAGGCGCTGGTATTCCTAAAGTACACAACAAATTGCCGCTAATAAGCAAACATATATCCTCAATCGCAATCAACGATTCATTATGAATCTCATCAGTCATTCCCAAATTGAAATCTCCGGTTGCAGCACGAACTCGATGCAAAAAATCCTCTGACATGTTGTCCTTGTATTTATCCCACAAATCTTTCGGATTTGATGGATTACACGTCGAAATTATGATTGCAAACAATGAACGTATTTGATTTGCAGGTGCGCACATAATTGCATCAGCAAGAGTCATATCCCAATGTGTATCATTCTCCAGCAATTGCAAACGTTGACAGGCATCACGATATGTAGGACAGAGTACTCCATCGACGGTTCAAAGTGACTCGAATGAAGTTGGCCCACGAACATTTACCAACAGTAATCGCAAATAGAAACATTCTGCATTTCTAGATGGATGCACTGTGTAAATACGACCGATGGCATCTGTTGAGAATACATCTGGATTATCCGGAACTCGCTCGCCTTGCTTTCGCCGTTGAAACTTTTTCGATGAAGCATTCCAAGTGTAATAACGCGGCATCTGAGAGTAGAGCAATGTTCGTGCGAATGGATCACTCTCACATGTTGAAAAGAAACTGGTCAATGTTGTAGCTGGTGGTCTTTCAGCACGTTGAATGGCAGTGTGTTCAGTGAAATAAACACGTTGACCATTCTCCAGATGCACCGCCAAATGAACTACAGTTGGATGACGGTCGTGAATTGGAAATGAAAAAATTCGCCAAAGAGCCTCATTGCAACTAACATATCTTCCAATTTGATACCGCGTTACTTCATCATCGGCATTTGGATCCGGAACACCAAACGCAGCCATATCACTACCTTTTGTAATATACTTGCAAACGTATTTGATTGCTTTAATCGAATTACAGTCCTCCACATTGATATGCGCATCAAATGTTTTGCAAAGTAGTGGTGAATATGGAACAATCCAACTGTTATCAACCACAACATCATTTTGTTTCACTTTCAATGTAACTGTTCTGCCATTATCATCAGGTGAACGACGTCGATAAAGTGGATATCCGTCGTCGCCGGTAATAGTTTCCGCAGTGAGAGGACGTGGGTAGCGTTTAGAACACTTGCCGTTAGCCATGCACGGTGAATCCATGTTATTGTTGCCACACGGTCCGTGAATCATATTCTTGATGACTATATCATACAATTCTTGATCAATTTCTGGATCCGGTATCTCTGCGCAAATGACAGCATCGATTTCGTCTGGTCGAATCTTTTCAACGAACCAAAGTAGAATATGCGCGTGCGGCAGACCTCTCTTCTGCCATTCAACAGAATACATCCAGCATCGAACATCACCAAATACACGTTGTTTAGTAATGAAACCCATTAGAACCTTCAGCTTCTGTCTGAACACACGTGCAGTGATATCATGTCGATCACTCGATGTTTGGCCGGGAATTAAATTGCACTGAATATCAATCCATCTTGAGTTGCAAGTGAAGGTGACAAATAAATCAGGACGACCGTACTGTCGAACAAACGCCATCGCATCTTGAGCATACTCGTGCATGTGGCGTGGACTGCCAACATACGTTGCCGGTAAGATTGTTAGTCGACCGAGATTCCTCGCATCACCTTCAGTTCTTATTGCATCCCGCAAATGAATGTACTCTTCTGAACGCAATTTCGCTTGATTTAAACGAATGTAACTGAGCCGTTCAGTCTCGATTTTGACATACATATCCACGCAGAATTGTTGAAGCAATCGCCGAAATCGCAACAGATAGTTATCCTCATTTTGACGAATCATTAAACGGTATGCATAGTAGTTCATCGAACTTACTTTCTTCGTTGTTTCTTCACCTAATAACAAATGAATCCGAAGTAACAAATAAATGCAAAGTTTGAAAATAAAATTAAGATTCCATTTAATTGATTGATTTGGTGACATGATTGAAGGAAGAAGTCTACTAACCAGTAACTGGATTTAACATTTTGATGTTAAAGTGGTAGCCGTCATCACCTGTCCAAAACATGAGCGGATACTGAAGTGCATCATACGACCGATGTGTCTCACTAATACGTTGTAATTGTCCATTGTTTCGGCGCGTCAGTACAATATCCCGTGATACCACTTGCTCACCGACTACAATAATGGCAACCTCATCAATTGTCGGTGCATTGTATTGACGTTCGTGCGCTAAGTTAGGCCTTTTATCCGCTTTAATCACGATTTGATGATCATCTGTTAGCATTCTGTCTAACGCATTCTTAAATAATCCAATCAATTCATTATGGTCATGAAGCATTCGTTGCAATTCTCTGATGATGTCTTCTTTCGTTCTATTGTACAATGCACTACGACGGTTTATTTGATCGCTCTCGTTCCCAATGAAATAGATTTGCAAGAAATTATATTCGCCATTAGGAAGCGGCAATAACGACCCAGCACGATGATGCACCTGCCCTTGAATCTGGTTACCAAGAGACGAATTCAAAATTAATAAAATGCGATCATTCAAAGGAAACGGAAGAGTACTCTTTCGAGCAGGAATTACCTTGAACGACGGATTATATCCGCTTTCATTGATAATTGATGCAGCGAAAGAAGTCATTTGAAAGCACCCATTATAGTTTTGAACATTTGCAAGAAATTGCTTTGATTCTGCTGTTACGCCTTCTAGATACGATCGCAATGGTTCCTGTGGCGATGGCAATGTTGGCAATTTAACTTTTCCACTAAGGCAACACAATCCAGGTGTTTCTCCTGGAAATTTCAATGCGTTGCAATGTGGACATACTACAACCATTGATCCAATTTGAACGACAGGAAGAGATCGATAATTGAATGCACAATCATATCGGAATGCTACTCGAAGCAAATTGGCATTGCCAGCACTTCTTCTTTGCTGTCTATTTTCAGTATTTATTCGTCGACTTTGCACCAAAAAATTTTCACATTGATTTACTCGACGACTTTGTTGTGCCAATCTACGCGAATCGATTACAGCCTGCTGTTGTTCTTCTGTTTGTTGCGCACGAATTTGGACGTGGTTTGCATTTCTTCGTTGTTGCGCAATGTTTCTATCTTCTTGACTCATATTCGCACGATGAGTCGACACTGCTCGTGCACCAGCTGAACGTCGGCCTAAATGAGATCTTCTCGTTGGTGGCATTATGAAGAACAACTGCAATACAATGAAATCACGAATAGAAAATTTGAAAACAATGAAACAACAATAGAAACGTACCACTTCTTACAGACAAATCCCAATAGTCAACCAACAATGCAACACATACACAAAAAAAACATTTGCTGATATCACCAATGTTGTATCCGATTTCAATGAATGTTTTGTATGATTTTCAGTCATAGAAATAGACTGAAAAAACCAGACTGATTTAGCAAATCATGATTTGTTGATTTTCAACCTACAGTGTTGAAGAAAACATTTGAAAAATTGAGGAATTAATTCCTAAAATTTTCCTCAAATAGAGAAAATACCTTTCCATCAAAGTACAAATCATCAAAATCGGTTCGGCCACTCTCGAGTTGTGGGATTACATCGCTTCGGACACTTTCTTTTATATATATAAGATTAGGTATATCAAAGAATTATTTAGAGCTTTTAGCAAATTAGGCATTCATTTCTATTCTTCTATATATTCTCGTTATCAATTTTAATTCACAAAAACTCACCAAATCGCAATGAAAAAATCCGAATCTGTAATGCGCAATGGCCGGCAAACGTTATTCGATCGAACAAAACACGAATTCGCAAAGTGCAATATGGACGGTGAAACAGCAACGAATGAAGAAACTGCGCAACTGAATCAAATGCCACAGTAGAGGTATGAATAAGAGTGGAACTCCATAGCATGCGTATGCGTATGCGTGCGTTTGACAGATAAGTAGAATACACACGTAAAAAAACCTGTCGTAACACTCTTGGTTGTCAAAATAAGACATTTTGAAATTATGATTTTTTGACCTTTTTTCCGATTTTTTTTTCTAAAACCCGTACTGAGAAAATACCTTTCCATCAAAGTACAAATCATCAAAATCGGTTTGGCCACTCTCGAGTTATGGGATTACATCGCTTCGGACACTTTCTTTTATATATATAGATATATTACAAACACGTGCTCGAAATAATTATAGGTAGAAAAGTTTTAACTATAATCTCCACTAAATATTCTACTTATTTCTACTAGAAATAGATATCGGAATTAATATAATAACTTATAATATTATCTGTAAAGTGAAAATCAGGTGTCCGTGGGGTGGAGTGCACATCCATTTATTAAAGTATCACACATAAAGTATCAGTACAATGAAGAACAAACTATAAAAACCAGTACAACGAAGCACTCGCTTGAATACGCGAGAAAAAGCACATGCTCGTAAGCGAGACTCACAGGAAGAGGGGCTATGCTGCGCACGCATCGCACATAGGTCGCACGTACACATGCGTATAGCCGGAAGAGCAAACCGCTTCAATCCCCCACTTTTGCTGTTCCTAATTTTAAATCTTTGGTACAGGCTTTATGAGCCACACATTTTAGGCCCTTCGTCATTACGTCCGCTAAAGGAGGGTGTTAAGAAATGCCCATTTTTGGCATCGCCCGGAAATGAAAAATTCATGCAGGATCTTTTAGAGTGTCTCCCAAGGAACAAAAAATGTCCTTATCACTTTCCCGAGAAACGATGGGAAAGTTGACAAAAATACGTTCAAAGTATGAATGTTATGATAACGGAACTTACGTATATTTTACATTCCGTCGTCTTCTTCTTCGGATATCGAACCGTCTTCGAAATACGTAGTAAGGAACTCAGCAGGCAGATGAATAGAAGCATGAAATCGAGCAAATCCAAAGTACCATATAATCATGGCTACATGGGAACAGCACCCAACAACGCGTGCTCCGACTTTGCATCCACATGAATGTGCAAGTATGGCTTCCAGTGCGGTTTTACTTTTATCAATTAGTACATATACAAAGTATTTTAAACTATTTGAGTGTCGTGAATGCAGTTTCGTTTTAAGTAAAATGGCGTTAATTGGTTCCACATCAATCTGGTATTTTTGAAAATCAATATTATATGATGGTACTGCAACTTGAAATTCAAAATCTCCGCTGTCATTTATATGGTCGGCGTAATAACCAGGTGCTTGCTTCATTTGGTATGTTCCGCATGCGTATAAGCATAGATCTTTGTATGTTAATCTGGGGAAAAACTCTAATTCTGTAACTTCCATACGTTGGAATTGTGCTCACTTTGTATTCATATTTTCCGCTTGAATCAGTTGTGATAAATGATTAATTCTATTCGAATATTGCAAAATTCTATTTGTAATTAAATGATCAAGGGCAGATGTAGATGGTGATGTAAATGTTGCATTTAAAATGGCACAAGCTATTTTGAAGTCGTGGAATAAAGTAGGTAACGTTGTGTTTTGGATGCGTCTATCAAAATACTTAAAACGACTTTTTATACGTCCATTAATTACTTCTACGATGTAACGATTTTTCGTAATGAGTCGTGACTGATTTGCTTGTTCAACTGTTAGTGGTTTCCGTGGTGCATCTGCAAAGGATGGCATTTTGGCAATGTATCCTCTTCTGGTTATTTCTTCTATAGAATCTCGAAAACCACGATCCACAAGGAAAACATCACCCGGTTTAAATTGACTCCACGTATTGGAATCTGACAACAGCTCATTTAATATTGTTGCATCATTTTTTGATCCTGGATATGGTCCCCAAACATTTGCTATGTAGCCATCTGTACAAACCACCATCATAGGTTTAATTAAATTCCTATGTTTGTGCCCAGAATACGATAAACGTTGGAATATAAAGTTAGAACTTTTTTTAATAAACAGGTAGGTGCCATCGAGTACTAATATCACTTGATTATTTGTTGGCGCATGGAGTTGTTTAGCACAATCCGTTTGATGTGTAATTAATTTATTTCGGTCATTAAATGCTAACAAATGGATGCTGCAATATCTTTCCAATAAATGCTGTCTTACAGTTTCACAGTAATTACTTGCTGTTTGTCGTGTAATAAAATAACGTTTTGCTATTTCTTCAAATGTGTAACCGTGATGTAACCGCGATAGATATATTCCAACTGCAAATTCACTGTTTCGTAATACATCTTGAACAGCATTTAGAATGTCAGAAAACTGTGAATGATTTAATCCTGTCTCATATAGTAGCTGTTCCTCTGCCATTTTTGTAAAACTCACTCTTGTTTCCATCTTTTTATTCCTTTCTTCTAACACTAGATTTTTAAAAGTCTTAATAATTGCAAGAACTTCCTCGACAGATAACGTTACCCTTGTATCATATGTAGTGAAATCCTCTGGAATTAAAAAACTATCTTTTTCTCCATGTGTACAACAAACACGTGCATTGTATGGGACAAAAATGTCTTTTTCTATATATATATTAAGACACTCCTCTTTACTTACAAGGAACCATCGCGAACGGTCCGGCTTCGATTTTGATGAAACTTTGTACACTTATAAAGCAGCCAAAAATAATCGACACGTATTTTTTTTTAGCTGCGGTAACTCGAGTTTAAGGGGTGAAACCACCCGTTGAAGTTTTGGCTCGAAACGGCTATCTCGAAAACGGAAAGACATACAAAAAAATTGTTAATGGGCGAGGTTGATGGTTTCTTATGTACAATAACATGGTGTTAAAAAATTTAAAAAAATACAATTTGTTTATAACAAAAAAAAATTTATTAACTTAATTTTTCATTTTATTGAAATTTTCATAATGACCAAAAATGACGAGCATTGTATTCCAAATCCATTGATATGCGATTTTTTAAAATTGCCTCCTACAGTTTTGCAGATTTTGATGATTTACATCTTGCGCGCACATCCATTATGGTAGTAGCCGTTCTAACTTTGATTTGAATGAAGCACTGTAGGCTTGCACTACTTCTAGAGGACAAAATCGGGAAAAATACAAGAATATCAATTTGTTGATTGAGCCTTCGTTAAAAAGTTATTAAAAAATTAAATTAAAAAATTTCAAATCCTCCAGGAAAAAATTATTTTCGATTGCGGGGGCCAATTACAATCATTTTTGGTCAATACATATACCCCCGAAATCCTACGCACTTTTGAGAAAAAAATTCGAGAATGTGTGAAATTTTTCAACAAAATTAAAAAATTTCAAACCATTCTGAAAAAATTATTTTCGGTTGCAGGGGTCGATTACAATCATTTTTGGTCATTACACATTCCCCCGAAATCTTGGGCATTTCGGAGAAAAAAATTCAGTACGGGCGGAACTTTAAACGTTAATAATTTCTTAACGAAGCCTCCATCAACAAATTGGTATTCTTGTATTTTTCCCGATATTGCCCTCTAGAAGTAGTGCAAGCCTACAGTGCTTCATTAAAATCAAAGTTAAAACGGCTACTACCATAATGAATGTGCGCGCAAGATGTAAATCATCAAAATCTGCAAAACTGTAAGAGGCAATTTTAAAAAATCGCATACCAGTGGATTTGGAATAAAATGATCGTCATTTTTTGTCATTATGAAAATTTCAATAAAATGAAAAATTAAGTTAATAAATTTTTTTTTGTTATAAACAAATTGTATTTTTTAAAATTTTTTAACACCATGTTATTGTACATAAGAAACCATTAACCTCGTCCATTAACAATTTTTTTGTATCTCTTTCCGTTTTCGAGATAGCCGTTTCGAGCCAAAACTTCAAGGGGTGGTTTCACCCCTTAAACTCGAGTTACCGCAGCTAAAAAAAAATACGTGTCGATTATTTTTGGCTGCTTTATAAGTGTACAAAGTTTCATCAAAATCGAAGCCGGACCGTTCGCGATGGTTCCTTGTTAGTCTTCTCAAGACGCGATCTGATTGACATCCAAAAATACATTTACTAGAAATAACACTACGATTAATATTTAAAGTCACAGATGAATTTCCTATAGCACTTTGTCCAATGTTTTCTTCAACAACACTTTCTTCGCTAACACTTTGTGTCGACGAACTAGGATGTTTTACTTTAATTTGATAGCATCCTTTGCAATACCACTGTTCGTCAGACCAGTAATAATTCTTACGTGCGAGTTTCTTGAGAGACTTATTGCAACTTACACAAATCTTCTCCATTTTACATGCACTATTATATCGAATTCGACAAAACTGTAACACTGACTTGACACTTACACTGTTCGAAGCTACAAACCAGACAAATGAAATAAAAGCCAAAACGTATGAAGCAAAGCTCTTATCTTGAGTTCAATATAAACTGCAGCATACGATCCTCACCATAAACACATTCCCGATACGTCGCGACGATGAGAGGTTGCGATATAAACAAGAGTTAGATCCCAGAGC